CCCCCGGACCCCCGCCGGGGCCCCGGGGCCGGGGCTCGACAACCCTGGTGGCCGTGGACTCCACCCGGTACTCCGCCAAGCCCCTCCCCTTGGACAGTGCCACCCAACTTAGTGCGGGCAGCCGAGGTCCGACCCAAACGGCCATGGCACCCCTCTATGACATGGCGTGTGGTTGGAGAGGACAAAATAGACTAGATGAGAATGGCTTCCTTGCCCATTTGGCTCTCTCGCCCCTTGAGGTTTAGGCATTCAACAGGAGGCGCAATTTGAACTTCCCGACTAGAGCTCATTGTCAGGGTTAGTTCCGGACGTCCCGCACCGATCCAAGTGGTAGGTGCCTTAGTCCTTTAACCCTCATCCTCTTAAAGGAGGAGCAGGTCACGCTGATACTTTTTTCCTCAAAGGGATAAAGGTCTTGGGGTCGCGGTGCACGCACCGGTATCCCCCTCTTGCTGAGGCCAAAGACTAGAAGAAAAGAGAAATCCATTTCAATGCCATTTCCAAGTTCATTTCAAGTCGCCTAGGGTCCTCTTTTTATGCAATGCAATTTTCAATACTCAATCCAATTCTCGGTCTCATTTCAATGCTCAATCTCAGTCCGATGCTCAATCTCAGTCCAATGCTTGATGCGATTATCTCTTCCAAGGCTGAGTCCAGTGTCCTTTCCAAGGCTGAGTCCAATATCATTTCCAAGGCTGAGTCCAATCTCTTTTCCAAGCTCAGTTTTCCAAGCTCAGTCTTTCCAACGTCCTTTTTCCAAGGTTCAACTCTTTGAATATCATGCGTCTCAAGCAGTCATGCAAGGGGACCCCAGTTCCAATTCCAAAGAATGACCCTTGTCAGGGGCCATTCCGAACAACCTGGTTAGGATCGTTCTTCTTTCCCAATCTCGAGCTTTGAACAGCCTGGTTAGGGCCATTCCTATTTTCATTCCATACTCATACTTGAATAGCCTGGTTAGGGCCATTCCCATTTCCATTCCCTTCTCAATACAAGCGCCCGAGGGGGTGGGCTGAGGGAGGCTCGGATCCGATTGTCAGTTGGGGGGGTAGGTGGTGGCCATTAGTTTTACCGTGCTATGCATTTTCTTGCTCCACTTTTCTTTATCTTTCTCATACATCCGACTTAGCGTCTAGCTCGCGGCGGGATTCACCCATCCTTTAGCAATGCTAGCCCGCCCGGTCGTTCACTCATAGTTGCAGGTCTTATGCATATTGATGTTGAGGACTGAACTCCGTTGGATTAGGCTCCTAGGGGAAAGCATTGTTGTGTCGTTCTACCCGTAGGTTCCCTAACCTCTCTTAACAGGACACCATCGTCATTCACACATATGACCGTACATTCTAAGAGACTCATTGTGTCTGTAGCCCGGTCCAAGTCCAACCAGTATCACAATTTGTTGAGAAGACAAAACCGAATTACAGATTGTTTAAATAGCAAAAAGAGAACCCCCTTATATTCGAATTCCCCAATCACACTCTCCTTCGTCTTTGCCAAACTCAGAAAAGGTAGCTGATACTCAAAAAATTTGTTCCTCCCTGCATCTCCCAGCTTGCCCTCACGTCTTTTGACAAGTTTCAGGTCAGCAGGCATCAGTTCACACAAAGTCCCACATCCTTGCCTTGACTAACTCTGTTTCTAGGAAGCCACGTAACAAAATACAACCCCCGCCTTTCTCCCCGATTGGTTTGCCAAGTCCCAACGCTTCTATTTTACATCCAACCGTGTCATCCGACCCCAGTTTGCCAACCCTTAATTCCCAGTATCCCGGTCCGTTCTTTGGCGCTTCGTGCCCCTGCCCTCCTCTGTCTTTGGTGGCGGCGCCACCCCCAGCCCACAGGTCCGTATCTCGTCCAATTTTTGCCTTCATATCGTGTAATGTTTCTTTTGAGAAAAACTCCGTTGGCGTGACCCTCTCCTCAGCCGCCATGAGGCTACGGGCTATAATAATTCAGTCATGTCTGAAAGTGCTGGCCCACACTTCGAACCAATGACTGGGTGTGGGGCCGAATACCTCCTCCCAATCATGGACCTCCTCTGAGGCTCTGCTTGTTGATGCCTGTCCTTCCGGCCTGGGCCTTGAGACCCTATCCACCTCGTCATCGCTACTTACAATTACAATCTCCGGAATGTCCTCCCCTGTCTCACTGTCATCTTCTGTGGATCCCTTAGCATCTTCCCGACTTTCCTGCTTAGGTTCTTCCTTGTGCTGGTCCTCTGTCCCTTTTTCTTCCATCCTTTCCTCCCGTTCTTGCTCACTCTTATCCTCTCACCAGGCTGGGAGCACATCGCCCTCTTTTGTAGGGGAGGGTCTACAGGCTCGCATCTTCCTTTTTCCCGTCCTCACAGGGGACCGGGGTTGCGGTCCTATCACGAGCACTGGTCTGTTTCTGTTTTGCGGCCTCTCTGGTTGCCGCCATAAGTCCTCAACATTGATATTTGCTTGATTAATATCGTTCTCGTTGTTGGGTGTCATCTTGGTCCGCCTGATTTCTATACCTGAAAGGCTGGACACAAGACATGAGAAAGCCCCAACCCATTCCCTTGTGTCACTCATCCCAGGCTCTGCCCACACGTGTCCCTGAATCCCGGTTGCTCCCATGGAAGCAAAAAGGCATGAAGAAGAAAAAGAAAAGGAGGAACAACCTACCACCTCGCCCCCTTTTCCCAATGTCCCTCCAATGCCATGTCTTATGGTACAATGTCCCGTCCCCCATTGCTCATCCCAGTATCCCACAAAAACTATGATACAGAAAACCCCCGCTAAATCGCACATTTTTCCATGCGACCCGTGCACACCCAGGCCACCAAAAGGAAAGAAACACAAAGAAAAACAAAAGACAAGAACCAGAAGCACAAGCGATAAGTAGGCCTCTTGCCACTGTCCTGTGCGGCCTTAGTCTTCCGCCTCCTTATCCTGGGCTTCTTGCAGCCATTGTTCCACCGGATCCCTAGTGAGAAACCTGACCAGTCGTTGCGCAGGGACTGACCCCCTTATAGTGATCCCATCTAGGTTCTCAATCTCAAACGTGCTCACACCCAACTTTCTTGCAATACAGTAAGGTCCCTTGAATTGCCGCCCTCACTGGCCTGACCATGTAGTTTCTAGTGCCAAATTTCTGACAAGGACCATCTCCCCGACCTGCAGAGGCTCCTTCCGGATGTTCTGCAACTGGTCCCACCTGGTTTTGTCCTTCATGCGACTGTCTAGTACCTTGTGAGCTATTTCTTCCAAGGCCTCCTCATTCCTAGCCGCTTGTTTACACCTTGCCTCAATCAATTGTTCCGTACTCAGATGAGGGTCATCTTCCAATTTGTTCCAGGTGGGTACTAGGGCTTCTATCGGAAAGTCAATCTCCCTGCCATACCATAGCTCTGCCGGGATGCATCCCGTTGTCCTTTTTGGTGTCATATTCTCGGCGAATACCGCATGTCTGAGATAATCCGGCCAGTTCCCAAGGTCATCTGCTGACAGCTTTGCAATCGTGTTCTTAAGCGTTTGGTGCCCTCGCTCGACTGGCGCGTTGGCCTTATGGTGGTATGGTTCTGTCAATTTGATCGGTACGGCAAGCCTCTTGCAGGTATTTAGGACGTCCTGGTTCACAAACTCTGTTCCATTGTCGGCTATGAATCTCCTGATGAACGGGTGCCTCATATAAAAGTCCTCCACCCAGTCTGCAACGGCAAACCCAGTTTTTTTCTTGAGCGCGGTTGCCTCGACAAACCCACTAAGGTTATCCCTTGCGTCAAGTATGTACCTGTATCCTTTTCTGGAAACCGGCATGACTGCCTGGTTGAGATGTACCATATGCCCTGGCCCCAGCACGCGGGTGGGTCTAAGTGGCTCGAAAATGCGGACCGTGCTTCGTTCCCGACAGATTTTGCAGGTCTGGCAGTACGTGGCTACCATAGATGTCATTCCTGGCTAATAATAGAGTGGCGTTATCTTGGCTAGGGTCCCTTTGGATGAGCGACGGCCACCAGCCAATCCGTCATGCATGGCCTGAATAATGTCGAGTTGTCGCATCCTTCCACAGACTACTCTCCTGGGCGTCAGACCTTCCTCCTTTCAGAACAGGTGCCCCCTTCTAAGCACATACCTATTCGCTTCCTCCCTAGCTTTAGGACTAACCTCGTGGGGTTCCTTGTTCCCCACCAGTAGCAACCCAATCTCTCTGAACAAACCTTCATATGACTTGATGAGGAAGAACTGCTCATCTTCCTGAGTACCCGTCTGATTATTATCCACCTGATAGGCCTGATAGTGATGCATCTCCAGCTCCTAAAACTCCATCATGTTCATAACCCTTCTCCAACCTCCCTCAATAGCTAGTGCGATTTCTTCATCCCGGGGTTTCACAACACTGCCCCACACGTCCTTCTCTTCCCTCCTTCCAACTCTGGTGACCGTACCTTCCCTTAACTCGGCAACCACTGCCGGAGGCCCCTTTTCGAGTGCTTTGATCAATAGCTCCCCAGTTGTGCAAGCCGTTCCGGTCATCTCGCTGTCTACTACCAGCGTCCCGCCCTCATAGTCGAGGAACGCGTCGATCGGCTCTGCCTCTTCTAGCCCTTTGGGTGTGAGGGCCACCCTGCTCAGTCCGTCTGCTCGATTCCTAAGGCCGGCTATGCGCTCAATCTTATAGTCGAACTGCCAGATAAATCCTACCCATCTTCCAACAGTCGGGTCTATAGGCTTATAGTTCTTCAGGGCCCCAACGACATTGGTTGGGTCTATCCTCAGGATAAACCTCCTCCCGAAGAGATAAGCCTGAAAGGTCTTGAGACAATGCAGTATCGCAAGTACCTCCTTCTTGAACTGAGAGTAGCGCCGCTCATCCGAATTGAGCGTCCTACTCTCAAATCTGATCGGTCGCTCTCTACCATCTTCACCTTTTTGAATTAACACCCCGCCGACTGCCATTGGTCCTCCATCTGTCTCAAGGATGAAAGGTCGACCGACCTCGTCGTTGAAACACGGAGCGACAAGGGTGATTTCTTCGGATGTGAGAATATTTTTCAGGGTCTGGACGACCGATTCCCTTTCCTCGGTCCAATCGAGCGTGCATTCTTCACGGATCATGGCCCGAATTGGTTCCGCTATCTTTGCGAACCCTTTTATGAAGATTCTCCAAAAGCCTACCACCCCCAGGAATGCCTCGACTTCTGTTGTAGTTCGAAGGGGCGTAGGCCACTGTGATATCTTATCGGTCTTAGCCGGATCCGGCTTCCTTCCATAGGCCCCACAATGAAATCCCAAAATTGTGACTTCTGGTACTGCCAAGATACTCTTCGGACCGCTAGCGGTTATGTTGTATTCTAGGAATCTTCGCAGCAGCTCTCTTATATCCTGCAGGTGGTCCCAAACAAACTTTCTTATCCCCGGCTGGACTTCGGTCTCATCCCTTTCCCGTGCTCCTTTGACAGGGTTGTCGTCAATGTAGGGCTCACATTTGTCTGGGAACATGTCCCCGAACACCGCGAGCATCCTCCTTTGTGCCTCTGCTACCGCATTAGTAAATCCCATTGGCGTGATCTGCATCTGCAACTGTCCTACTGGCGTATGCATAGCCGTGTAGGGCCTATCTCGTGCGTCCAGCGGGAGCTGGTCGTATCCTGAGTACAAATCTATCAAGGAGTAAATACTGCGTCCGGCATGGGATTCGACCAGGAGATCTGCCTGCGGCAACGATCCCGCATCCCGGGTGGTGACAACATTTAACTTTTGCAGGTCCTGAATCCACCTAAGTGACTTGTTGGGCTTGCAGAATACAAACCACTTGTTGGCATAAGGAGACGAGGTGGGTTCTGCTACGAAGGAGTCCATTTTTGCCCTAAGGAGCTCCGTCACTTCTCCTGCGATCCCAAAGTCGTAGGCCGGTCCCTTGTCATTCCAACACTTATGCTCGACCGTGTGGATCCTGACTGGTGGAATCAACTTAGCGTCCAGGCGCCCTTTCTGATGGTCATTGAAAGCGAACGCTAGGTGAGATTCTTGGCATGCTTCTTTGATTGCTTGTGTTTATTGCTCCGCCAGAAAACCCTTTACTCCGATCTTCATGGTTTGGGCCACCTCATCCGGTATCCTATGTCCTTCCGCCACCCTCCTTTCTCTAATTACCCGAAGAACCTCCTCCTCCTTTTCCATGGCCTCCTCCTTAGTCATCTCGAGTAGGATGGAGACCGGTTTTGCCTTCTTTCCTACTGGCTTATACCTCCGAACGCTTCCTTCCGGGATCTTTCTTCTAAAAAATGAACGGCCGGAGTTGCTTGCAGGGCTTCCACAATGCGGGGCTGAATACTGACCAGCTCCCCATTTAGGCAATAGCCTTTTTGGATCCTTTCTTCAAAGCGGGCGAGGGCGGTCGGGTCAAAGGTCACTTTGTAGTACCTGATTGCTTTGACAAGCTGCAGTAAGTCCGTGATTTCTAGTGTGACCTTATCCTTCTTGTCCCGGATCTCCTCGTGCTTGGGCAAACTGGCTCCCAATTCCACCTTTGTTTCCTTCTCTACTACCATGACTCCCAGGGCGTCTTCGTCTGACCTATGTTTCTTCATCGGAAGTCCCATCTTGACCCATTCTTTCTTACTAAAGACCTCTTCGATCATAATTTCCACCCTCTCTCTCATCCCTTCCATGCGTGCGAAAGCCCCCTTTCTAGCGCTCTCCTCAAAGGAGGGTGACCAGGTTGAGAGCTTCCCTTTTGGTGTGTCTCCCCCGGTTCCCATAAGGCGAAGCAACTCGCCTCGTCCTGTCACCGGGTCATCTATGTCTACCATGTAGGCGCCGTCGGCCCGTCGTGTAGATGCATCCCGATCATTTTTACGTTCGCACACCACGGGCGCCTGAGGATCACGTCATGGTCCATTTCGTCCATGACGGTCATTCGTTGGAACGACCATATAGACTCTCTAACCCCAGCTTTAACTGCACACTTGGTAACATAGTCAGAAAAATGGATTTCCCCACCTGCTCCCCGAACACTCCCCGTGACCTCCCGGTTGATTGGACACCCATCAATTGTTGCAAAGTCCTTGCGAACGAGTGTAATTTCTGCCCCGCCATCTACCAGTGCATCCGTATGGTGGGTGCCAATCTGGACTTTCAGTTTCCCTACCGGTAGCGCATGGAAACTCAGTTTCGTGCCAGGCGGTGCCCTCATGACTTCTCCGCCTTCCCGGTCTGGCAGGCTTAGCCGGATGTCTGCAAAGGCATTCTCTAGATCTTCCAGATCCCCGGGGGCCCTCTGAAGGTTTGCCACTTCCCGCGGTGGCTCCTCTTCCTTGCCTTCTTCGCGTACATCCGGTTCCTCCACTACTTCTACCCTTTGCCTTGTTAGCAACTGTCTTAGGCCCTTTAGTAGTCTACGACTAGCCTGCAATATGGTCTGGAAGGAAACTGATACCATGGTCCCTAGAAACTGGCTAAGAGTGTGGTCTATCTCAGGATCGGCAAGGATAGGGATCTGGTACCTGAATTTCTTCTTTGCGGATGTTACTTTGTCTATCGGCGCCTCCTCCCTAGGCTTGCCGTAAACTTTGTCCTGATCCAATTCTGCTGGCGGATTCGAACCTTCCTGCGCGTCTTCCATGACCGCGTCCTGAATTACCTTCTTTGTAGCACCCTGTTGTTTGGTGGTCACATTAACCCCACCGCGGTCATCACTCTCGGTGATGAAGTTAACCTGGTGCCCTCGCCCGGGTGCCTGTCCCCAGGTAAGTTCCTCTACTGGTTCGGCCTCAACCGCGGCTGCGTCCAGGTTGTTAAGTGCGATTACTGCTCTGCATCCCTCCCGACGAGTTCCAGTTTACCCTCTCTCCTCGTGGCCCCAGGATTTCCCCGCGCAAAGTCCTAAAGCACCGTTTAAGGATGATATCGTGGTTAAGCCTGGGACACATGCGGATAAAATGTCCGACTATTGTGCAGTACTTGCACTGCTCATTGGCCGGTCCTTTCGATTGTTGCCGTGGTTGGCTATCCCTGGGGGTACGATTGCCTCTTGTGGCGGGAGCGGGGGTCGTACTGCTTGCGTCTGCGAGACCTGGGCTTGCATCACCAGTAAAGCATTTTCTACTCTCTCTATCTTGCCATCAACCCCATGGACCCGCTCGTGCAGGCTTTCGATTCCTTTCTTCACTTTATCTCCAGTCTTGCCTGTCAAATCTATGATCTCTCCTTCTTTTAGCAGGGCCAACGAGTCAGTCACCACCATCTTCTCTGCAAGATCCGTTATAGTGCTGAAATCTACGTCTCTAGTGTTCAGGAACTTTGTTGTCTGTTGGTAGGCGGACAAAATCTTATCTTTGTCAAACTCGGTGAACTGCTTTAGGAAGTATTTGCTCATTATTCGGTCCGTCACTCCGGGAATTCGTAGTGCTACGAGAGTAAACTCCCTTGGGAAGTCGCTGTATGTTGCGAAATTCTTCCTCTGCACTGTGGCCAGTTCTGCCTCCGTGGCCATCTTTTCGTCTGCTAGATACTTCCTCATCATCACGTTCCTGGCCTCTTTCCATGATCCGCTTGTTGCGACGATTGCCATTATGTCCCTACCTAGGTTGAGTGACACATGCTGGCCTAGGTGCTCCATCTTTTCTTCCCCAGTCCATCTTAGTAAGGCTGCTAGATTTTCATAGTCGATTAGGAACTTGGTGATGTTTCCGCCATCAAAAGTCAGCTTTTTCTTGGCGTCGGCCAATTATCCCTGGTTTTTGCTTAGAGCACGCGTGAGGGACGACACCACCTTCCTAAGCCCTCCCTCAATCATCCCAGGTCCTATCGCGGAACTCGGACCAGCGCCTTCCTTGCTAAAATCGAGTTGCCCTTTTGGCTTTGCGATCCCTTCCGGGTCAAACCATCCTAGCACCCTTTCCCTCAGACTCTAGAGTCCCTCGCATCCTTTTGCACTTACAGGCGACGCCGAGGGTCGGCTTGCTCCGCTGTCCAGTAGGGGTGGATTGACTGGTCTATCCCTATCCTGCCTAAGGAATTATATTCCTTCTCTCCCTTTCCTTGTTGGGGTATCTCTCGTGTCTCTGGGCCGATCCTTCCTATGTTGTGCATCCCCATCCTGGCTTCCTTGCCTGAGGTCCAGTTCCCCTTCTTCCCACCTCCTGTCATCAGCGACATTTTTCTCGGCATCGTTCATGATCTCTTCCAATAGTTTTGCCCTGTATTCTGCCGTGCGTCTCTCTACTTCGACTAGCTTTCTCTGTGCATCCGTTAGCCTGACCTTTTTCGGCTCCGCCCCCTCGGGCTGCTGACGTGCCGGACTCTCCCTGTCTCTGACTTCCTTGGTTCCCGAAATCCCCCGTTTACTTCCCCTACTCTTTCCTGAATCTTCCTCGGGCACAGCGTCCTTGCTCCTCTCCCTGTCTCCTAGTGACTTTGCCGACCCCCGATCCCCTAGGTCCCGCTCTTCTTGATCTACGCTGTCCTCTACGTCCTGATTTTCGTCCCTCAATTGACTTCCAGCCTCGTCTCCCGTGGCCATGTTTTCCTTCCTCTAGCCCTGTAATATGAAAGAAGTAATTTTTTTTTGGCAATCGCACATAATTCTCTTAGCCTTTAGAATTTGCCTATTTTTCACCCCTTTTTGCTCTTCCCTTTGCTTATCCTAGGTATCTTAGCCGCACCTTTGGTTGCAACAACGTCTCTCCCCCCCCCCCCTTTTCCTGGCATGTGTTCAACCCATGGTAGACCTGGTCGCGACCATCCAATCGATTCTTTTACACCTATTTTTCTTTCCCTTTGGTTCTTATTTCTACCATCCTTCCCGGCATCTTTCCTATGCTGGCTCTTCCGGTCTCCCTCTCATCCGGTTCCTCAAATAGTCTTGCCACCCCTGCGAGATAGTTCTCCCCCATCTCGATCTCCCTTATGATTATTGGCTCGTATTCCTCAAATGACAGACGTGGCGTTCCGAATATCAGAATCTCAAGAAGTTACAGCAATTCTCGCGCCCGATTTCCTCAGAACGGCCCGTGCCTTACTGCCACGTTATAGAACATCCCCGTGGCCTGTGGTGAGAAGTAGCGTTCCCAGATTACGGTTGAATTCACTTGGTCCCTTGCCCGCGCGAGACCCCCAAAAACCAAATCAACCATGAACCGGGGCACCCGGCAGCGCAGTCCAGACATAGGGGCCCTAAAGTCTCGCCATCCCCCTACTTCTACTTGCATCCTTAATCCCACATTCCGTCTTCCCCTAACCTCATGGCCTATCCGGTTCAGGACCCTGACTGCCCTCCGAAACACTGGTAACAACCCATGCCCCAAGGCCAGTCCAGTTCCCAACATTTGCCACCCGATTTCTGGGAAATATAGAGTCCCTGTCACCCTGAGGTCAGTATATAAGTCGTCTCCTGGCCCCCTATCGAATCTCATGCCACCCCATAGGCATTCAACTAGCATGAAAGCCTGATTCCATCCTAGGGTCACAACCCGCCATTCCGTACCTATCCCCCGGACAATGTAGCTTGCCGGGAGTGACACTTCCCATCCGCCTCCGGTTTCCATGGGCGGTTGCGGGTGCATGTCCCGCCGGTTCGTATGGACGCGTTTTGCTGCCATTGTTGGCGAATATCGCCCTGCATACACCACGCACAAAAAAAAGGGGGAAGAGGAAAAAAGAAACTCTCTTCTTAGTTTTCTTCAAGCCTCCTTATAGCCCGATTCCGCTGATCTACCTTCCTCATTGCTTTTCTTTTCTGCCCTCCTATTCTTCTACCCCCTCGAACAGCCGGCAGACGTCGTCCACATACGTCAGCCCGCATCCTATCTTGCGCCTAGGTATCTCCCACACGATTTCCTCGGTTACCGTCGGTATTCCAGGTCTAGTGCCCACTACGGCCTGTAGAATGTTTAGCACCTCGTACTCCTGCTCCTCATCGAACGGCCCTAGTTCCAAAAAGGCCCGGTAGTATTCTCGGTAGACGGTCATGTTACTAAAACTCAACCTACCCAGGGCTATGACTGCCATCTCAGCACGTTCTACCCCTCCCATTCGCTCAAGCAAAAAGGGAGGCAAGACTATGCGCACATTTTCATAAGGCAAGATACTAGCTCCTACCTGGACCACCCGGACGATCGCCGTTACATCATACCGGTCCGGGCTGGCGAATGCAAACCCTTCCATCCAGGTCACCTGCCACGCCCCGTCAAACATCCGTACGGGGTCACCGCCATCCGCCAAGGCCACCCCGAAGGTCTGCCATCCTGCATCCGACAAGTATAGGGACCCTGTCGCGCGCACCTGTCCTGGCAACTCCAGGTTGGTGCCCCCAAACTCACCCCTTGCACGCCATTCTAGTTCCACCACCAGGTACACCGTGTCCTATACCAGTTCTACCCCAACCCAGTCCATCACCGAATTATACACCCCGCCCCTGGAGGGCAGGCTGACCTCCACCCTTCTATCCAAGAAACGTGGCGGCAAGATCCCTCGCGGCCGAGTTTCCCAAAGCGTCATACGCCTGGCCATTTCTCGTTACCTGCTCCCGCTCCTTGCTCTTGATTTCTGCATGCACCACGTTAGTCAAGTTCCCTTAGTTCTCGTCTTCTCCCCTTGTCTCCTAGTTACCCTAGCCCCCCCCCTCTCTATTTCGGTCCCTCCCCCTTCTTGTGTACACTACCCCTTCTTTTAATGTACAATGCCTTTTCTTTTCCCAGTCAATCCCCCTATTTCCCTGTCTTCCCAGGTCCGTACTCAAATCCATAGGACCTCAAACAGCAAGAAGATGTCCCCTACATACGAGGGCGCTGTGGCTATTTCTCGACGGAGTATCGCCTTCTCGACTTCCTCTCCTACCTCTAGTCGGTAGTCCTTAAGTTCCTTTAGGATCTCGACCACTTCCTCAGCCCGGTCCCCGTGAAACGGCCCGAATCGCAACGACGCCTCGTAATAAGCGTCTGATAACCAGGCGAAGCCTACCTCTACCTCGTCCATGGATTCCGCTATGGCGCGGATATGTTCGTACCCTCCGAACCAATCTGCAACAAAATGCGGCACACTTACCTGGACTAGCTGGTAGAAGAGCCTAAGGTCCTCCCATCCCCCCATCACGACTCTGCTTCCCACTTCATCCCACCCCTCATTTGCAAAATCCTGCCCCATTTCCCAAGTTAACCGCTCAGCATCCTGTAAAATCCACATCGGGTCTCGTCCCGCCGCTAGGTGCGTGCAAAACATATACCACCCATTCTTCGAAAGGCACACCGTCCCAAGAGCTTCCACGTTCCCCTCGGCTATTTCATCCCACGCCTCATTCTCTCGAACTAGATCCCACACCCGTTCTACCCACAAAAAGGACATAGTCGGTACCATCTCTACTCCCACCCAGTCGTAGGCCGCGTCGCGCCACACGTTCCTTGTTGGCAAAACCATCTCTACCCTGCCCTCAACCCTCCTAGGTATCCATCCTCTAAACATCCGTGCCCACAAGCTTTGCTCCCTTGCCATCCTTGATTCCCTGCACACCTCCACGCGACCCAACCACTCCGTCCTCAACCCCCCTTTTTCCCTAGAAATCCCATTCCTCGATTTCCATCTGGTCATCCTCCTCGGAGTCATCTTCATTCTCTTCAGGCCACAGGTCCCGTACACCCTCCAGAAAGATTTCCCCTACCACAACATTTCTGTAAACTATCCGCCAGTGCACGTCGCTCGAGACGAACAGGCCGTCTGTGCTGAAATGGTTTAAGATCTCGGCCAGTTCCCTCGCCCAGTTTCCCTCGAAGGGTCCCATTTCGACCGACAGCTGGAAGAAATCCTGGCGGGCTCCCTGGTGCAACCCCAACCCTGCCATGGCCCTGCATATTCGCACCAACCTACTCTGGGTTCCAAAGACGGCGTCTACCATGAAGGTCGGCATGACACACCTTAGGGCCCTGTACGGCTTCCGCACGTTTTCCTTGTCCCCAAGTTCTACCCGCATATCAATCGATTCCATCATCATTTCCACTCGTTGGCACGCGGCCCACACTACTTTCCGCTCGGCCTCCCTGAACAGTTTGTACGGAAGTTTCCCCAAGGCGAGTTCGACAACCATCGCAGTCTCCCTCTCCTTTGACAGGTAGATCCATCCCCGGGCTTCCACGGTCCCCCGGAACTCTAAGTCCAGTAGGCACGGCGTTATCTTGGCCAAGGTTACCTTAGTCCACATCGTTTCAATCCATAGGAAGGCATCACTTTCGGCCAGCATTACGGTTTGATAGGCCGGCTCCAGGTCCGTCCACATTCCTTTCCCTGGCATTACGACTGATACTACACCCTTCACATCTATTGGCATCTCTGGTCCATCTGAGTAGGTCGGCGACGCCAGCCACTGTGTCATCCTGCCTTCCTTATACCGGTGGCCAAGACCTGTTTCCTCCAATGAGCGCACCAATCGGCCCTCGGGTTAGGCCCACCATTATCCTAGATGAGCGTTGTTTTAGAGACCCCTCATCAAGGTCTCCCTAAAGTTCTCTACCCATCCTCCAAGCGTATCAGCCAGCGCCACGTCCCTAACCAGCCTCTCCTTCCAATCGATCACCAGTGGCTCGCATTCCTTTTTCTTAGTTCCACTTTCTTCCGACTCCTATCCAACCTCTTCCTCATGTTCTCTCACTCGTGTGGACTTAGACTTGGAGGTGAGAATAAACTTAGAAGCTCGGTCCCCTTCCAACATTCATCAGACAACTTTACAGAGGGAGACACGAAAAAAATAAAATAAAATAGGCAAACGTCGCATACAGGTCGGTCATCTCCTCACCGACCTTTTTCCCAGAAATGGTCTCTCCACTGTTACTATCGGCAGGGTTTTCAGCCCATACCTCCAGCACAGCTCAACCGTTGCGAGCGCGGTACCCAGGTCTCAGCAAGGCATTCGCCCTTTCCTCCTTACCCAGAATACCCCATCCCGACTTGCCGCTCGTGTACCCACCGTTAATCTCGGGAATCACCCCGCACATCTCGGTAGGGCCATTGGAGTCAGCCGTCCAGGCATTCACGTCCATCGGTCCAATAAGGAACAGTTTTTCCCAAGCCATGCTACGAGAAGCTCTTAATTGCCTCCGAGGCTCCTTCCTTGCCCCATATGCAGTGGTCTCCCTGCCGTGCGCCGACAAGCAGCCGCCCCGCCTGAAAAGGTTTCACATCCCGCCTGGGCAAGGTCATCGAGCCATGCTCGGATCGCTCGGATGAGAATGCTACTAATCAGCCGACGAGACCAACCCTTGCCTGACAGTCCGGTGGCCTGACCCCCACACACGAAACCTGGTGAACTTCAAAGAGGACGACCAGCTCACATCCCGCACCGGCCGGCGCAAACCAATCCTTTCCTTCCGAATGGCAGGACGCTCGAAATCCCAGTCATGCAATCACAAGCCCCAAGTGAGACACACATAACATAAGTGCCTTTTCCCTGGTGCACCCAACGCTTCCTACTCGTAGCTCACAAATTTTCTCTCAGGACAGTCTGTGCCACTCACCCCTACTTTCCATACATAGTGCCCGGTTCCTTTTCATGAGTATCTTCAAGGGGGAGCTAGTTTTTCCCTGGAGTCTAGCAACTCACTTCGTTCCCTTCATCTTTACTTGTGTGTCCGTTCATAGGGCAGGATTGTTCCTTCTCGATTACCGTTTGTGTTCATATGAGGTTCCTTCAAGCCTTTAAGTGCGTGCACGAGCCCGCTGGGCTCCGAAGAGGAGTAGAGAAGCACCCAGGTGGGTCGGATCGCTCCGCCGCGGGATTTTCATTGGAACCCGGACTGGCCCGGAATCCCAACCGCCTGCCAGGTAACCGGAACCCTTCTTTCACACGAAGAGGAAGGGTCGACCTGCGGCTTGCCCAAGGCTTCCCCGGCCTGACGAAACTCAGCCCAAGGGAAGGAGGACTAGAGTCATCTCCAAGGAAGATGGCTGAGTAAAAGTGCAAACATGCATGTTCTTCCTCCGGGCCTGGCCTTGCCATGCGCCCAGCCACCCTCAAATCTGATTCTCTCAGAGGATAGAGCATACACAAGTCCATATTCCTTATCTTTACGTTTGTGTTCTCGGTCATGCGTCGGGCGCTGTCGAGCGCATCGGTCCCGCAGGGGGACCCTCCCGGCCGCGTCACGCAGGATTTGGCAGGATTTATCACGGAAGAGCGTGTTTGCCGCTCTAGCCGAGTGCGCCAGCCGTACCTCTCACGCGCCCCTACGACAGGACAGGGCCACGCGAGGCACCGCTACCTCCACCAGCGGGAGCTGTCACCATCCCTTTGATGGGCGTATCCCCGTCGAGCTACTGAACCACATGCGAAGGTTTTTATAATGCAATTGCAAAGGTGGCCCAGTCGAGGGCGTTTCTCGTTCGCTGTAGCATAGGGGTACGCGCGGTCAATGCCCAATATCGAACCCGTACGCGAGTCGACGACACTGGGGGCTGATGTCCCAAGTTTGATTTCGCGTCGGTCGACTAGGACGCTCTACGCACACCACGCCAAACACCACTTAAAGCAAAATTTGAGTAACCCACATTCACATACGCATGCACCAAAGCAAAAGAAAAACACAATACTCCCAGTCCCTTTAGTACTGGACCCATAATCTTTTGATAGTGAGATTAGGTAGGCGTCGCATGCTGATTTAGTATAAAGAATCGCGCGATTGCACGAATTTCTCATACCAGCCAGTCATGCGTGTGCTTACAAGTATTTGCAATAATGGGGTACTATGTGGTACCCAGGTCCAGGAGGCCCTCAGGGATTTTGAGGATCCCTTTCGACATTCAAGTGTCGGCCTGCGGGACCGATGCGCTCGACAGCGCCCCCCTCGTGATCGTATGGGTCAATTTAACCCTTACCCGGCGCCTCCACCATTTTGTCGGGGCCTTACCTTGAAGGACTTTCGAGCCTTGGTCGACCCCACTGCAGGTTCCACTTGGCTCAACCCGCCCACGCTCATTCTCAGGGCGCGGGTCGTTCGTCCCAGGGGCACCCCCACCTAGTGCTATGAGGAGAGCAGGAGAGCAGGTTAACCGAGCACCCATTTTTCAGGCCCATTTATAAGAAAACCAGACAGTCATTTTAACAACACTTCACACCAATCTATAGAGTGCACTTCT